CATCATCACTGGTGAAGTCATCAGTGACGTCACTAATGACGTCATCGGTACCCGCATCGTCATCGTCACTGATGACGTCATCAGTGACGTCAGTGATGACATCATCGGCATTGGGGGTCACGTGACCCCCAAGGTAACGTGACCCCCCCCCCTGGTTAGTTTAACCCCCTCCCCAGTGCCCTTCCCTCCTCCTCCTCAAGAGCTGCGCTCTAATTCGGCGTTACAGGGAGTTGTAAGCGGCTTTCATTTTTTTCAGCTAGATTTAGCGGGGAAACTGTATTGGTGTGTAGGTCCCGTGACGTCAGGTCCCGTTGCATCAAATTTCCCGCTAAATGTAGCGGGAAAACTGAATTAGTAATTAGGTCACGTGACGTCAATTTTTCCGCTAGATTTAGCGGGGAAACTGAATTGGTGTGTAGGTCCCGTGACGTCAGGTCACGTTGAATCAAATTTCCCGCTAAATTTAGCGGGGAAACTGAATTAGTACTTAGGTCATGTGACGTCAATTTTTCCGCTAGATTTAGCGGGGAAACTGAATTGGTGTGTAGGTCCCGTGGCGTCAGGTCCCGTTGCATCAAATTTCCCGCTAAATTTAGCAGGGAAATTGAATTAGTACTTAGGTCATGTAACGTCAATTTTTCCGCTAGATTTAGCAGGGAAACTGAATTGGTGTGTAGGTCCCGTGGCGTCAGGTCCCGTTGCATCAAATTTCCCGCTAAATTTAGCGGGGAAACTGAATTAGTACTTAGGTGATGTGACGTAAATTTTTCCGCTAGATTTAGCGGGGAAACTGAATTAGGGTGTGTAGGTCCCGTGACGTCAGGTCACGTTGCATCAAATTTCCCGCTAAATTTAGCGGGGAAACTAAATTAGTAATTATGTCATGTGACATCAATTTTTCCGCTAGATTTAGTGGGGAAACTGAATTGGTGTGTAGGTCCCGTGGCGTCAGGTCCCGTTGCATCAAATTTCCCGCTAAATTTAACAGGGAAACTGAATTAGTACTTAGGTCATGTGACGTCAATTTTTCCGCTAGATTTAGCGGGGAAACTGAATTGGTGTGTAGGTCCCGTGGCGTCAGGTCCCGTTGCATCAAATTTCCCGCTAAATTTAGCGGGGAAACTGAATTAGTACTTAGGTCATGTGACGTCAATTTTTCCGCTAGATTTAGCGGGGAAACTAAATTGGTGTGTAGGTCCCGTGGCGTCAGGTCCCGTTGCATCGAATTTCCCGCTAAATTTAGCAGGGAAACTGAATTAGTACTTAGGTCATCTGACGTCAATTTTTCCGCTAGATTTAGCGGGGAAACTGAATTGGTGTGTAGGTCCCGTGGCGTCAGGTCCCGTGGCATCAAATTTCCCGCTAAATTTAGCGGGGAAACTGAATTAGTACTTAGGTCATGTGACGTCAATTTTTCCGCTAGATTTAGCGGGGAAACTAAATTGGTGGGTAGGTCCCGTGGCGTCAGGTCCCGTTGCATCAAATTTCCCGCTAAATTTAGCAGGGAAACTGAATTAGTACTTAGGTCATGTAACGTCAATTTTTCCACTAAATTTAGCAGGGAAATTGAATTGCTTCGTTGGTCCTCCGACGTCAGGTCACGTGAAATAAAATTTGCCGCTAAATTTGGTGGGGAAACTGGATTAATATATAAATCACGCGGCTTCAAATTTTCTGCTAATTCTAGCGGGGAAACTGAATTGGTGCATGGGACTACAATTTTCCCCCTAAATTTAACGGGGAAACTGCGAATTAGGAGGCCGGAAACGTCGGCCAGAAAGGTTCATGATATCGGGGGGGGGGGGGGGGGGGGGGGAGCTGAAAAATGTTATCGCATTAAAAAAATCGATCTGATGAGTTTTCATTTACCAAAAATACAGGGCACGAACTGCTGTTTCATGTACTGGTCATCAGGATGCATGAAATAAAACCGAATAACCGATTAACCGAACAACCGGTTTGCCAAACCGGATATTCGAATTCGAAAATCCGGTTAACCGAATAACCGGCTTTGGTAACCGGATTCGCTCTCCTCCGGTTTAACCGGATAACCGGTTTGACGGATATTTTCATGCACTACTCTCAACCCACTTCTCAACAACGAGAAGACGTCTTGTTTTGCAGGGATTCGAATCTTTTTGCTGGACTCCACTTGCCCAGCGTCCGTTGGTCTGACCAAATAGATCTCGTTAGATGGCCTCGTCACATTCTTGATGCTAAATGGAAAATTTAATTCCTTTAGCGCGACCTCACATGGTTCATTTAAAAGGATAGGTTGGGACAGCTGTACCTTAAACTTACTTAAAGTATTATCGTGAAATATTTCACTGGAGGCATTGGAGAAAAGGTTCACCTAAAATTGATCGCTCATTCCAAAGACCGATCGTGCACTCGGTCAACACCAGACTGACCGGACCGATAGCAAGGCCCGATCTTTTCTATCGGAGGAAATGAAAGACAAATAAATTAAGATGATAATTTATTTCCACGATTCCACACTATCCGCAGTGACCAGCCTGTAATGAAGAATATCCGTGGCCAGCGGATGCACGTAGGTTGCTTCGATGTGACACTTGCACCACACTGACCGCTTGATGGTATGCACCGTGTCCGAGAGGAACACGGTGCATAGCATACCCCCGTGTCCGAGAGGAAGCGGAAACCGCATCCGTGGTTTCCGCTTCGGTCACCCTGGACATCACCTTGCTCACCCATCCCGACAAGAATGTGAAAGGACTCTCGTGCGATGGCCACTCCTTGTCCTTTCCCTCGTAGTGCTCGTACAAGCGGGACACTACACGGAACACCGACTGGGTCCACTTCGTAGGGAGGTTTTCTTTCTCCAGGTCGATGAGCAGTTCCAGTGCAGTCACAAAGAAGTCGTTGTTTGTCTTACGGTCTCCATTGCAGACTTCTATCTCGCTCCAGCAAGTGTGTTTTCCCGTGCAACTAGTCAGACGTCCGCTCGCAAACATCTCGACAGTTCGATCTGCACCACACGAATGTCATAAAGAGTTCGTTGCCTGGGTCATACGACACCTTACGAACATGGCAACAGATTAAAGGGCACCGACGGCGTTAAGATAAGCCGCAGGACTCGCGACACCTTGTGGGAATATCACCAACCACACTGCACATGGCGCCATCCAGCGGCGTGTCCCCACACTTTCCCACAAGTCAACGAGGTAGGCGGGGAGTACGCTGATTGGTGTGGCGACGGCGACCTCAAGCGCCACCTTGTGGAAGCATCACCAACTATAAACTGAGTTTGACAGAGCGTAACAGAGCGGCGAACCCTAGCACTACCCACGATTGCACACAAAGTCTAAGTACGGTAAATTCATTTCCCTCTGTGGCGCAGAGGTACCGCGTCGGGCTACTGAACGAAAGGTCGCTGGTTCAAAACCGCTGATGGTATTTTAAAAGCCCTTTTCGGAGTAATTGAAATTCGCAGTTGTCATGTGGTTTTCACGTGACAAATGCGTCGCACTGATAGTCTATTGGCCGATGGTCGACTATCGGCCGATAATCGATCATCGGTGAATGATCGATAATCGGTCGATAATAAATATATTGATCAATTATCGATTATCGAAAATCCAAAATTTTTTCAGATATCCCTTTCTGATATCTGAAACATCCGTTTCTGACATCTGAATAGGTTAGGATAGGATAGGATTGGCTAATTGGCCGGTCGCGACTCCTACGTCAGACCCAGCGGTGGACGCGCAGTCAGCCATTTAGATATCCGAAAGACACCCACATCGATTCCATAGATAGTACGATGTCAGAAACCGGACACCCCGATATCGGGAACATATCGATATCGGAAACACGCAGTTAGCCATTTAGATATCCAAATAGATGGGATCGATGCGAGAAAAAGACACCCGCATAACCTACATATCGATTCCATAGATAGTATCGATGTCAGAAACCGGACACCCCGATATCGGGAACATATCGATATCGGAAACACATGTTTTATTATTGATTGATTATTGGGCTATCGTGTGCACTTTTACTACTACTCTGGCCAATGCCCATGCCCTGTCATTTGTCCCTGCGATTGGAGAGAGGGAGGCCCTGCCCTGCGGCTCTGTGATTGGTCGGGGCTGGCCCTCCCCCTTAATAAACATGGTCGGGGCCAGCAACCTTATTTATTTCCTGTTACATCGTGTATCATAATAATACTACTCAGGAATAAACAAAAGACACGTCGCTCCCAGGAATCAAACCCTGGCTATTCGCGTGAGAGGAAGGCGCAATAACCGTTAGGCCACGCGCGCACTGCCCACTTGGACAGCTGTGCGCGCGGCAAAATTAATCAGCGGTTGAAGAAACGGCCTGCTGCCTGGTGTTACTTCTTGTAGTCGACAATTACAATTGACCCTTTGGGAATCGACTGTTTACTTGATATCTTTTTGTTAGAAGTAGCCTCTATGTAACCCCGCCCCCATTTTTCTTTCTGCGGCTTTCTGAAGTTTTGTAGTTTTGTATGCAGCTCTAACCCGACGTCACCCTGGCCACCCCTTGTTGTATCACATTATTTTTCGCATTTCATAAAAGGTAGAATAAATCGGCGTGTTTCGCGGAACATCGGCAGAATTGTTCATGCGCAATTGCACGTCCCACAGAAGATTTTGATGACGAACTAGTCTTTTGAAAGGCTACATCCACAACAATTATTAACGCTTGCTATGACTAGGTCCTTAGTTATATATGGGTAATTGAATTATAAATTAGTATATTTAAATTTATTTAGTTATTTCTGGGCACCGTCTGAAATCACAAAATGAGCTCACTTTAAAATATAAAAAGCACGGGCAGCATTTACAGCCTTTCAAAAACACTCAGTTTCTACTCGTTTTCAGTGTTTGGTGTCTCGGTGGAGCCGCAGAGGTCCTGCTCCCCGCGGGCAAAGCGCGCAATAACATGGGCCATCACACATTGGTCGCGTGATATGTTCAGAGAGGCTAGCCGGCAGGACCGAAACCTACCTTTAGGACCGTCGTACTCGTCGATGGTCAACTTGTAACTCTCCTTTGCGGAGGCGACGTGAAATTTGTTATAGCGCACAACTATCGTATCCCGTCGTCCGTCAGATCTTTTCAGTTCGATTCTGAGAGCTTGTTGGTTGTTCGGAAAACTCGTAAGTGCATGAAGGTTTTCTAGTCCTGCAACGGAAGGTATAAGATGCTTTTAGAAACAAATCACGCACACCCTTTCCAAAGGTAACGCTAGTCATAAACCCTCCTTGACGTAGGGCCTCACTCATAACACGAGCTGCAGGAATTAGCAAGGCGCGGCCTAAAAGCATAGAACAAACCAAGCTGACGATAGGGAATTCAAGACAAGAAATACCAAGAAGAGTAACGATTCACATTTATCATTTCGCAACACTATATGGGTGATTTCATCTAAACTCACACTCTTAGAAAAAAAAGGGTTAGTATAGTCCTCCCTAAAGGGAGGAACGCTCTTGACACATATGTTCCTTCAGAGAGGGAGAAACTTTCATCCCTCAAGCAGGGGAGCAAAAGTTCCTCCGTCGACTGCATCTCATTATGGCGGCCACGAATCGAGCAAATCGAGCTCGATAAGGCTTAACGAGAACACTAAGTCTATTGTACGAAGCGAGAGGAGCAGCAAATAAAAAAAGTAACACGAGCTTTCCGCGAACTGTATTTATTTCCGAAGTTTCCTTACCCCTGCAGGTAAAGAAACTTACGTTTCGAAAGCATGCAGTCACTCAGTCTTCTCATCGTCAGCACTGCGATGTTCAACGGAGACAACCGGCACCCAGTTCGCGCACTTTATGCCTTACCTTTGCTATTCCTCGAGCCACAATTCCTTCGTCAACCGTTGCGTCAACCGCACATCAGGGAGGAGTGAAAACCATTCGCCCTCAAAACCAAAAGCCGCTCTCAAAAAAAAAGCAAATCCGTAGCAACCTCTTGGCTTATGTCAGCACGGTAACACGAAATTATGGCGCAGCCGCGTAGCGTAAAAGGATGTTAGTTAAATCGCTTGCCACAAGATGCCAGGGTCAAACAGAGTAATCGCAAGTAGCTAGGCTAGGTGGCGCTAGGTACCGCCCAATTCATGTTTTACAAAAAATATTTTTATTTTCTTACGCTACAATTGCCTTTCCTTTTCTTCGGGAATCTCTAACACATGTAGACACGTTACGTACACTACAAGCATCAGGTGAACATATGTTGAGCGCATACACAGGCATCGCACATACAAACATCAATACAACAGTCACAACAGCACACTAACCCGATCACTACTCCCGACCCCTGCGTTTCCGTCTTTTATACTGGTCGTTTTGAACGTGCGGAATTTTTCGGTGACTCCCTAAGCAATAAAAAATAATCCGAACATGCTAATTTTTTTTCAGCAATGTCATACATCTGAGACTATTTTTAATGGCTCAGGGGATGAATCTCTTATTAAAACGAAAACGCTCGATCATGCCGTAATTATTTGAAAGCCAATAAATCGAGCCGCTCCAATGTGGTTCCAAGCCATGAGTTTGTTTTCCCGCACGGCCCTTCGTAGCCAGTATTTATATTGCAGTGTTTGTTTTTCTATTTGTGGTGTTCGCGCACGGCTGCAATTGCCGTCTTGAATTAATCCTTGTAGAGCGGATATTCACTCAGCTGGAAGTGATGCTTCACGGGCAGAGAAATCGCTTTTCGATCAACTTGAATGCAGTCAAAGCCGCGACTTGCGGCAACGGAGCTACGCCGTTGCGAGCTCCAACACTTCTAGCGCTCATCCCAGCGCGCCACTTGGAGGGCAGTTTCTACAGGAACCGTAATATATTTAAACAGCAAAATAAAGGATAGCGTTTGGTTTTTTTTTTCTCGATTTTACCTGTTTTTTTTTGTTTTTTTTTAATGCTAAACTTCCGTTGTAAATATACGTAATTTCCGCCATACTTTCGTACTGTTCAGTCTTTTCCCCAGAGCGCAATCGCTCTCGGGGACCGACAGTCACATTGGCCACTGTACATAGGAGCCTACCGTTCAGACCAGCGTTCAACATGACTATCCACACGTCGATCGACTGCACCTAATCCCTCAAGTGGTTTTAAACTCTTTAATGTAAAGCGGAATGTCATCCTGCGACACCCCGCCCCCTCCGTACACGGCCCGAACAGCGGCATCAATGCCCGACAGTTTACGTCATCTCATCTTGTTGTTACACCACTGATACGCGAACACACGGTCACATCGGCGACAATTCCAGTCTTCTGTTCACAACCCACAACACTGCCATCACGATGTCGCTGACACGCAGAAATACAGAACCACGTTGACGATGTTGCTGACACGCAGAAATACAGAATCACGTTGAACGCCGGTTGGCACTCGGCACGGGACAACAGAACCGAACTCAGCATGGAAGGCACCCAGGCAGCCGGCAGGAAAACCTCCCTTCCTTGGACGCAGTTCCCGCGATTTCCATAACGTCGAAAACGTCGACACAATTCCTCGTGGTTTCGCTGCTGTAGTGGCTGTAATTCTGCGTGTGTCCCGCAAATCGGAGACGGCCGTCTTACCCTGTGTATGTAGCGCTGCTGGCACTGCTCCGGAACTTCGCTGTTTCTAGCGGCTTCGTTAGATCGTTTGATAAAACAACTGGTAAAAACGTCAATGCAACCGAAATGTTCTGCACGTTTGGACTACAAGACGGAATTACAGGTGGCCTTCGCTGCCGCTGAAGCTCAATCAACTCAACATTAATTTATCAGACAACGTGCGCGATGTGCTCGAAAAACGAAACCGAAAGATGAGTCGGGAGGGCGAAAGCTTTCTCCCGTCTGCCTGGAGGAGGAAAACGTCTCGGTGAATAATAAGGACTTTATTTTCTTTTCCTCGGTGTGGATTTGTTTATGTGTGTTTTGTTAAATAAAAAAAAAAAAAAAAAAAAAAAAAAAACATTTCAAAAAAAAGAAACCCGCTCCTCTGGGGATCGAACCTTTGACCACTTGGTCAGAAGCGCGATGATTTACCCCTGCGCCAACTGAACAAGGAGTAAACTTGCCCTCCTCCTTTCATCTGAACTGTCGTTCCTCCCTTCTCTGGGCAACTTGTCCGCAACAAGGAGGAACATGTCGCTGTTGCTACCTTTCTCCTCCTTTTTTTCTTAGAGTGCAGGCACAAATTTTCGGTCGAATTTTCGATTTTTGTAACAAAAAATATGCTCTTGGGCAATTCCTATAATAAAAAAAGACGCAAAGGGCGAGTTTGTCGGGTTTCTTGTTCTCAAGTCATGTACCTTTGCAGCCGCCAAGGTGGAAACTGACGTTTCTGCAGCTTATCGGGGGTGCCATAGTTCACTCCATTAAATTTTCCTACTTTTTACGCTACATAAATATAACTTTTTGGGAAGACTCTAAACATATGCTTTTTTTTACGCTAATTAAGCGTCTAGGTCATAAAATCCTTTATTTTTTTTTTAATTGTCAAACCGCTTCTCTGCGGCGATAGTAATACGAAGTTCAGGAAGCTGTGCTGTGTGACCTAACACATATTCTTATGATCTTTACATCACCATAAAGCTCTAATTAAGCTCCTTCTTTGAGTATAATTTGAATATTTCGCGATAAGTATATAATGCGCAACATGGTGCCTGAATAACTAATATTTCGAAAACCTAGCTAGTTTGGCGTTGATTTTCTAAAAAAACACGATTTATTTCTTGTATTTTTTATTCACAGTTAGGTAATATAGCCTAAAAAGAACTACCAACAGAAATTGTAAGGTATTGTTTGTATGGCCGCTATTAAGACTCGAATCTCGTGCTATGAGCGTTTTAAATGGGACTTCGCACAGGCGCTCTGTACAGCAGAATTTTGACCTATGTAAGGTTTTCTATTTACCGTTAGCAGTTATCTCTATATCCAACCATAAACATTAATAAAATTTGGAGTAGTGCACTAAAAAAAAGTTTAAAAGTCCGTATCCGCAAGTGCGGGCACAGCGCTTACTTCTCCGAATCAGGGGAATGCAGATCGTTAGAGAATTCCTCTGGGGCCTTTTTTTTTTCTGCTTTGAGTTTGAAATAGTTAACTTGATATATAATTGTCATATTTTCCTATGTAAAACAGATATTTAGTGCATATACATATGCACGATTTTGTATCTGCCCTACTGAAAAAACCCGTATAAAAATTCATACTGGTTGACCCGTATATCTCATACGGTGTTATGGGATACGGGTCTCCCGTATGCTACTGGGAATCCGTACCTGTACAGGTTGACCCATTCAGATACAGGAACCCGTTCAGATACGGGGCCCGTACCGGTACGGGTTGACCCGTTTAGGTAAGGGAAACCGTGCCTGTGCGGGTTGACAATTTTAGATATCGGAACCCGTACCTTACAGGTTGACCTATTTAGATATAAGAACCAATATTTTTGCATGTTCATCTTTTCAGATAAGAGAAACCTATATCTTTAAAGGTTTATCCGTTCTGATGCAGTAATAGGAATCAACATAATGTCCAACGTTTGCAAACGGATGGATGTATTTTTGCAGGTTTAACAATTCGCATGCATTTGTCATGCAAAGAATGAGCATGAGCCAGGTCATTTCAGGTTATGTATGTATTTAGTGAACGCAAATTGGCATCTGCAGAACACCAACAAGAAGCTTAACCTCTAAGCAAGCTTAGAAGTCAAACTTCTAGTTAATATCCTGCAGTAGGATATTAACAAATTTGCATACTGCAGTAGATTCACCCGAGCTGTCCTCTTCCTTGGAGAGGCCTCTCGAGGATGCCTCCATAGGTACTCGTTGAATGCATCTGCAGGGGAAAAGAATACAACAATAAGTCATGTATAATCTACAGTTTCCTGAAAAATTGAATATTTTACTTCCTGCAATTATAAGCAAGCAATTTCCACTACAATTTATGCTTTGTTAACATCTTGTGATACCATGTAGACCCCAAGAGCAGGCATGCATGATTCGGCCCGAAAGTTTTGAAGATGTAGACCCAACAGTAGGCATGCATGATTCGGCCAGAAAGTTTTGAACCAGTTCAGACCGAGCTCAGAGGAGTGCAGAAGCAGTGCGCAAGTCGGGCTACGGCTGCGTGAACTTAAGCTGCAGCGTTACAAACGACCCTGTAATTGGTTTCCGAAAGACCGAAGAGTTG